TGGTGGCACGTGGTGATGCTAATGTTTATTATTTTTTTATGAACACTTTGGGACTGATAGTGGATCCGAAATAACCCTTTGATCTTGATGGTGCAGTTTGGGTTGTTTTTGAACCATCCGGGACATTGGGACCACGTGAGACTTATTTTTTTAGTCCTTTCAATGAGGATTATCTCATTTGAGTCATTTAAATGGACCCGACTTCTGTCATTCGGACGCGTATAAAAGAACGCAGACCGCTACTCAAGAGAAATGTCACATCTTGTGAAGTTGTAGGTCATATTGTTTTTATTGTAACGACAGTTATCTTTTATTTTATTGGGATATTACTTGGTTTTCTTTAGTGAGTCGGATAAAACTCCACTTAAGGACGGTTGGATGATTAGAAACTTCTTTCACAACGGTGTGAGCTCATACTTTACTTGACTCTGTTTATTTTAAACGTTCAAAAGAAAAGGTAGAGGAGAGTGTGTGTGAGTCATAAACGTTATGTGAAACTTGAAGGTGAGGTGTGACTTGAGTATGAGATTGCACTTGTTTCTTTTGAACTTGTTTTTTTTGCGTGTTGTACAGGAAGGTAGAAAAATTTTTGCAAAGGAGATTGGTTTATGCCTATTTGGGATAAAAGAAAATGATTGTCATATTTTTACCTTTCACCTGCCTGCATATAAAAAACAATTGCATTTTGAAGTGAATAATTTTGACGGGTACCACGAAAGAAACTCGTGAATATAATGAAGATGAAGTCAATTGAACTTAGCATTTTTCTAAGGTCTACTCGTTTTATCCCAAATGACCTCATTTGTCTATACCTGTCCAAGTGGTTCCCGCCCTCTATCTTCGATGACTTTTGTCGTCTAAGCTACCTTGAGCTTAGGATCACAGGGGACACGTTCTCTCTCTAAGAAGCATTTGTGGCGGGAGCTCGTTGCTTTAGAAACCCGCTCTGTTATCGACCCGGAGTGGACCTTTCTATGGGGGGGTACTTTGTCGATTCAACAGAGATAGTTCGACTTCTGAGATCCGAGCTTTGTGCTCGGGTGAGGAGGAGTACCCCAGACCACTTCCCAGAGAGCGGGACATGCAACACTTCGAGTAATGCACCTGATCAAGAATCATCCGCAAAGCAGTCTGTCATGAAAAAAAAAACTAAAACGTATGGAAACGAGTGTGTACGTACTTAATCTTAGGTCGGCGGTAGGGTTGAATAAATGACTTTGGCAACATGTCTTTTAAAGTCAAAATTGAGGCAGTCTGAGTACCTTGTCGTTTGCATTAAGGTTATTATTGAAGCCAACTTTCCGTTGGCAACTCAGTGTGATTTTTTTTTTTCATCGTGTTCGATCCGAGGTGGTTGGGTTTTTATTTTGATCTTGCGTTACTAGTTATATCATGTGGTGCTTAGGTTCTTTTAGTTATCGTTACAACTTATGTTGAATTATATATACATGCTGAATATTGTTTGTGGGCTAGGATCAATTCATTTTGATGTAATTGAGTGCGGTTATTATCATATTTTTTTCTGGCTAGTGTTTAAGGGACTAGGATTGAGTTGTTAGTCTTACGGTTGGTTGTGACCGTCCTAGTCGATCGACGCCCATTTTGTACCTAGGTGTAGTAGGTGATCAGCGCCCTAGGGAATGGATGACGTCTGGGTTCAGATGATGTTTTAATCAAGCGTACCTATACTGCAACGAACGGGCAAACGCCCTCGGCTGACCGACCTCTGCGATTGCATATAAAAGCTTTCGTGCATGGGTCAGTAGCTCGGTAGGGATATGCCCCTAAGGGTAGTGACAACCCTTTAGGGAAGGTAGGTTGTGCCCCGGGTGAACCTATCATGTCGTAGGGGACCGCGGGAAGTACAGTTGGCGCACCCGGCTAGAGCGGCAAAGGCGACAACGCAACCGCGCCCGTCTCGGCGGTTCACAAGGTTATTTTGCGTTGTTCCCTAGTAGTTTCTCATTTTTGTTTTGTTTAACTCTTGCGTGACATGGTCGGGAGGGCTCTCGCCTTTCGCGAGAAAGGTGGGAGTCGATACGCTCGAAAACTTGTAACAGTTTGTATTTTTCAAAGTTTGACAAAAACCTGCATTAGAAAAAGATTGGGTTATGGGCTGACCTCGGGGCAAAGGGAACACAACCCTATGGAACGCGCTTTCAACTCAGAGTCTACAATGGGTCGACCTAGAACAAGCGTGACCAACCCAACCATGGGGAAATTTTGGCTAATAAGGAAAATTCTTTTATGAGCTCATGATGAGATTCCGCCCTGTCATGACCCTTTTTGCCCCAACCAATCCACCTGGGGTTTTGACATTCTCCCAATTATTCTATTTAGCCGATTGCACAGCCCAATGCCCATTTGTCCAAGATGCCTAATTGATTGTTAGTACACGTTTGTATGTTTGATGCAACATTGCGCAATCTTCCCCACCTGTGTGGTCTGCTACTGATGCAACACACCTGACCACCTTCTCGACTTTTGCGCTGGATCGTCTATTTATTTTTACCCTAGTATTCCATATGCTTGATAATAGCTAATATGACCTGATGCGTAAGGACCGCATAGTCATCGTGCAATCTATCTTCCATTGTCACTATCTAAATGACAACTTTTCAAACTGAAAACTGAATTGCCCTACCGGACCGCATAGTCATCGTGCAATCTATCTTCCATTGTCACTATCTAAGTGACAACTTTTCAAACTGAAAACTGAATCGCCCTACTGCAACCTCTATGGCATTTTGTTGTTCCGGTTGTATTGTCTCATCCAGCGCGAGTGCATCCCCGCGTAGCGAATGTTTGGTCTGACAATGCTGTGCTGTGCTATGCTGGGGGCCAATGGCCAACTGGAATCAAATTCACAACCTTCCTATTGCAACACCAGAGCTCAGCCAAAGGAAAACAATACTTCAGATACACAGCTGGCATAGCACAATGCATGCCTGCCACTCAACCTTGCCCATTGTACATTGCCACACTAGAACTTTGGGTCTCGTTAGACACTCCTAAAAGAATCTCAAAATTCTTAGGACGAGTCCGCGACCGGTTTTCATATGCGTATACGCAGCCGCGTCGCCAATGTTCATCCATTCCTACCAATGTCCGTCCAATCCCCGCCAACGGCTACCGTTCGTGGCCGTTGCCCGCGTCGACCCGCAGAAAACCTCCGATGTCCAACCACTGACCCGACGGACCGCTTCTGCACCAGCAACTCCGTGTCTACGGTGCCATGCGCACGACGCAACGAGTCCGTGAAACGCGGTAATCCTAAATTTTTCAGTAGGTCGGGGGCTACCGGAAAATTTAGGACGATTTTGCTTGGGGAATCCTAAATCCTTTAGGACTCGTCCTAACACCGTTTTCACATTTTCAATCTCAAAATTGGATTTAGGATTGCGTGCAACCAAGACGCAATCCTAAAAACAGGCACTTTTAGGAGTGTCTAACGAGACCCTTTTTGACATATTTCTGGATGGAATTGCGGCCATATGCGTCCCGGTATTTAGATACATTTGAGATACCATTCAAATTTGAGATACTGCTAGGTAGTGCGGGTACACCCTCAACCCACCCGGGCCCTTGATAAAGGGAGAAAGGGAACTCCAGAAGGGACCTGAGCAAAATACATTTCAATACAGGGCTTAGGGTGAGGCTAATGATGAAACCCAATGATGCTAAGTTTGTCCCAAGCAAGCCTGGATGGCTTCAGTTTGACAACCATGGTCAGCACCAGGAGTTCATTTTTGGTATTTTTTACCATCTGACCGTGGCCGTCGGATCTCCTTATCTGCATTTGATTATCCGTCACGTCTCCTCACGGAATTGTAGTTGCGTTCTAGCTCCTCCTTTTTCTTTTTAAATAAAAAGGGAGAGAGCCTTGAGATATGAGCTTCGAACTGACTGGCCCAGGCAATTCAGAGTAACTGTTATCTTACCATCTTCATCTCGTTGCGATTGGATCCGAACCTCGGTTTGCATTTTAACAATTCGGGGATGTACCAACTGAGCTGGAGTCGTTGGTGGAATGGTGGTTACAACCGTCATGTACTGTTTTTTTTTTCTTTTCGGGACGTCACAGTGTTCAATTCAACAACGTAGTGCTGAGTGCTCAACGTAATCCTGATATAATCCAGGTCCAGAAAGGCCACCCTTTCACCAGTACTGTGCCAGCGGCCCAGCGGCCCAGCGGTGGCGGTTGGCCCAGCGGAGGGAGGGGGCGGTTTGTATCGTGAGGCGAGCTACAGCTAATATGTGAGGAGAGCTCAAAAAAAAAAAAAAAAGCCGGTCTGTGAGGAGAGCTAGTGTAACAGTAGAATGTGAAAGCGAGGGAGAGGAAGGCTCCTTGAGTACGTCGCATATCTTCCGGGGCTAGGTCCCATTTACACGAATTAAGCGATATTGACCGTAGATAGCCAAGATCAACGGCCAGAATCTCTTAATCCGTGCCAGTGGGACCTTGCCCCCGGTCTGCCTATCTTCAGTACTACTGCTCGGTTGTGCGGTTTGGAGGGGAACGGCATGCATGTTGCAGGGGGTCCCCGATATTCTATTGGCTTAGGAGTAACGGCAGGTAGGTAGGTAGTAAAGGTGAGTGAATTTGAGAGAAGATAAAAAGAGGGGGGCGGAGAGTTGGGGGGGAGGAAAAAGAGGGGAGATAACTCTTTGGGGGTTCTGGCGAGGGTTAATGTGTGTGCCTTTTCACATGCTTACTTGTAAGAACTGTAGGCCTATATATAGATTATCTGTTGAGAGGGGTGAAACAGATGTACGGAATGAACTACTGTACTGTATTGTAATTTTGTTGAAACCCTTTGAGATTACGCCTTGGTAGTTACTGCTCTCAGAGCACAACAGGAACTTCAAGGTGTGAATGAACAGAGGCTTTGTCAGTTGCATTGCCATGATTTCCCGGCGCCCAGCAAGTAGGAGGGAGTGCGAGCTACCGTGTTTATAGATCAGTCAGTGTACATCGGGAATGTGACGGGAGCGGTGAACGCTCTTCTCGATGAGAGGGGAGGAGAGGAGAGGAGAGGAGAGGAAAGAGAGGAGAGGAGAGGAGAGGAAAGAGAGAGGAGAGGAGAGAGAACGAGGAAAGCATCTATAGTGTAAGAGAGGGCGACAATAAGTTCTTCAGAGGAGAAGAAAACCCACGACGAGTGAAGGAGAGGAGAGGAGAGGAGAGGAAAGAGAGAGGGGAGTAGAGAGGAGAGTAGAGCAGAGGAAAGAGAACCAGGAAAGCATTGTAGTGTAAGAGAGGGCGACAAGAAGTGGATGGAGAGGAGAAGGAAAGGAATTGAGTGAAGAGGACCACCAGAGAGTGAAGCTGAGGGCTAAAGCAGAGGTTAGTGAACTAAGTGGAGGAACTCTTGCGGCCAGTGGAAGGGCAGCGGACGGAAGAGAAGGCGGGATTGAGATTCGAGATAAGTTTTGAAAGCAAACGAGCGACTCGGCTGATCGCGGCTGACTGGCTTCGTCAGCTTTGCTGTCAGCGTCGTAAACACATACGGTACGGCTTTTCAAGCTACAGTAGTGTCAGTAGGAGAGGAGGGAGTACGAGCTTGTTTTCCATCCAGGAAAACGAGCAAGCAATCAGCCGCTCGACTCGGCTCGAGGGTGCTGGCTGTAGCTTTATAGGTGTTGATTCTGTTGCACTCAGTGGCGATTTGCATGCGGTTTCAAATTCAAATTGCATGCGGTTTCAAATTTCACAGCTGCTACAGTTTGGCGTTACCTCGGTTAAGACAAAGAGGTTAATAACTGAAAGCTGAAAGCTGAGCAGCTCACTCTGTTCGGATCTCCGTTAGAGTCTCATAGTTTTGTTCACTTAGTCAGTTTAGTCATTAAAGCATAATATATACACGTACATATATAAATATAGCCCTTGGAGCATGGCCTGAGGGCAAGATATAGCTTATAGGTCACGTGACTCGCGTGTGTTGGATCTGTGCCTAGTGCAGAGGATTACTACTAGAGCAGTGGGCGTGTGCGGATCTCGACATTTCCGATGAATCTGGTCGAGAGTGCGACCGGGAACGATAATTTGCCTGAACAAGGTAATGGGAAGGAGGAGGAGGAGGAGGGGGGAAGGAGGACTGCGGGAAAGGAGTCCGGTATCGCTGACGAGACAACGACACGGGATCATGCTGAATTGTCCACGAACGGAGGTGAAGACGTCGGCGTTCGGAGAGAAGAGGGAGGAGAGGAAGGAGGGGAGGAGGAGGTCATGGCTGACTCACCAAGTCCTGGAGGTGCGGGGGGTCCCCGCAGTGGAGGGGAGCACATGGGGAAAGTGATGTCTGTGGGCGCTCCGGCTGGTAGCTGGGACCCGCCGCCACCAGCTTTAGCGCCGATGGGGCGGGGGGGACAGGCGGAAGTTCCACGTGGTGAGAAGGCGGACGAGGAGACTAATCAAGACGACGCTCGGACTGAAGCAATTATTAAAGAAGAAGATCGCGGCGATGGCGGCGAGGAGGGGCCTGGTTCTCGTGAGAGAGAAGGCAAGGTGAAGAACGTCGATGCGGAAGCAGACTCGGCAGAACAAGCGCCGCCGGGGACAGCCAGTGTCGCCAGTGAGCAGCAGCATGTCGAAGAAGCTGGATCGGGCGCGTTGACGTCAACACAAAGTGCCGCTGCTGCTTCGTCGGGCACTTCTCCTCCTCCTCAGGGCGATGATCCGGTGTCGGCGGCGGCGGAGGAAGGCGGCGGGGGCAAATCGGCGGACAAGGGAAGCGTTGATTTGGCGGCGGAGAAGGAAATCGTTGAGTCGTCAGATCCGGAGGAAGTGAATGCTGCAGAGAAGAAGAAGAGTAAGGAGAGTAAGGAGAGTAAGGAGAGCTCTGATCGTGGAGATGAAGCTAGTGTCGTTACGTCTTTGGGAGAGGAGGAAGAAGGCACGTATCCTACAGCAGCGGAGAAGAGTGCGCCGGCGGCGGGGGCAAACGGAGGGGAGGAGAAACCTTCCGATCCTCGGTCGACAGGGGAGGAGGACAAGCCGGAAGGGCAGGGGGATGTAGAGACTGCTAAGAAAGGCGGCGGGAAAGAAGAGAAGGACGCTGCGAAGGAGTCCGAGGAGGAGAAGCTTATGCAGTTAGCCTCCTCTTCTCGAGATTCTGGATCTACGGAGAAGAGTAGTCAATCTGCTGTTGATGACGATGAGGATAACCGTGGATCTGCAGCGGCAGGGGCCGTTGATCGAGGGCTAAGTCCATCGGCGCAAGAACAGCAGCAATCATCTGAGGAGGAGGTAAAAGCGCGGGAGGAAGTACTTGGTGCCGTGGGGGATCCATCAGTGATTACGAGGGATCGAGTGAATGCCGGAGTATCTGGAGGAGTCCAAAAAGCGGCAAGGTTCGCGCCATGGATTGTAGTCTTGGTGGCTGCCGCCGCCGCGTCGCTCTGGTCTCTCTTCATGTCCAAACCCACGAATCTTTCCCCTCTCTCGTTGATCTCCTCAGATCCGGCTTTTAGCGTTATAACAGCCGCTCGCGTGCAGCTGCCTGACGGCCGACACCTGGCTTATCGGGAATGGGGGGCGAGCTGGGAAGACGCTAAGCACACGGTCATCGTTGCGCACGGCATGGTCTCTTCCCGCCGACTAGGCATCCCTGGGGTCAATCCGGATCTGCTGAAGGAGTACGATGTGCGCCTGATTAGCTATGACAGACCAGGATTCGGTCAAAGCGATCCCGATCCATCGAGGACACTGAAGAGTGGAGCGAAAGACATAGCCGCGTTCGCGAAGCTAGTGAACGTCACCCACAGATTCTGGGTGCTGGGGTACTCCGGAGGGGGACCGCACGCGCTATCCGCGGCGCGTTTCATTCCCGACGACATCGAGGGTGTGGTGCTGTGGGCGCCGGTCGTCAATCCCTACTCGCCAGATCTGACGGCTGAGGAAGCGCGATCGGTGTGGTCGCAGGTACCGCTGAAGTTTGAGTTCATGCTCGCTCGGAGGGCGCCATGGATATTAACGACGTACATGGAGCGAGGATTTCTCCCGCATCTGTGGCAGGGGATCGCTGACTTGGGCATGCAGGTTGGAAAGAAAGATCGCGAGTTCTTCAAGTGGCATGGTCTGAAGACCCTCCAGGAGGATGTGAGGGAGTGTCTCAGGCAGGGGCGGGGTAATCATGTAGCCGAGGAATTGCGCCTGTACGTCAGTGATTGGGGTTTTCGGCTAGACGATCTGAATCGGAATCTGACGGGGACGGTGGACCAGGTGCACGATCAGATTCTCGAAGGCGGGGAGGTAGGAACGGCAGCGGCGTCGCGATCTCCACGTGGCGACAACCAATCAGCAAGCGGGTGTCGTACACCTGGCTGCTCTTCTCCGAGCACGCATGGGGCAGAGTCGGAAGATAGCAGTGCTGAGGAGAATGGAGGAGGAGGAAGGATAGGAGGAGGGGAGAAGAATGCATCGGGAGACTCTGCCACCTCGTCGTCAGTTCCACAGGCTGGTAGGTCTGATGAGCCACGTGGCAGCAACTCAGAACTTGAGGAGGTGAACGTGATGACGGAGGATTCTGTTCAGTCTAGTGAAACTGGCGATGGCGGACAGAAGAAGAGAGAGAAGAGTGAGGAGGGTGAGAGGGTGGTAAGTGATCGTTCGCAGCCATCGCTGCGTTCTCTGTCCGACCTTCACCTGCACGTATGGCATGGAACAGATGATCTTCTCGTTCCGCTGGCTTTCAGTCTGCACTTGAAGCGAATGATTCCTCGTCTTCATCTCCATCTCCTCTCGGATCATGGGCATTTCTCTTGGTTCTGTTACTGCGATGACTGTCACAGGGAGGTCCTCGATTCCATATTTGGAAAGGACACGGTTACCGCTGCTGCGCATAGTGGGGGCGACTTGCAGCGGGGCATTCGCGCCCGCTGGGGTGGGAAACCATCGTCGACGGGGAAGAAGACGACGGCGGCGACCGCCGGCTATGACGGAGCCGCGGAAGAGAGGCGGGGGGCGGCTTCTTCTTCTGCGCCGACTGCCCCCGCGGAGGAATCGCCGGCTGCGAAAGAAAGCTCCCTGCCCGGCACCACTGTGCCGATTGCCTGAGCAGCAAATCGTTTTGTTGTGACGTCAGCCCGAGCGAAGTTTACTAGGTAGTAATTTGCGTACGTGCGCTGCTTTTGCTTTTAAAAGCCCCGACGCCCCGTTGTGACTAGAGACCAACGCTATGCGGCCGCTGATGCCGCTGTCGTTGGTGCTTGGTGCTGACTAAGTTTCTCGTTGACGTCATCAGGAACGCAGCAGAAAGCAGCAGGTGACGAGTTTTGTTGCGCGCGGTGTTTTTGTGTAGTTCCGTTGTGGTGCCATTCAGCTAACAGGGAAAGGGAGATGGGGGAGGGGGGTGGGGGGGAGGGAAAGGCGCTTGGTTTGATGGCCGTGTGCGAGTCTGCTGCTGCATTCTTTCCAGTCCATTGTTTTGAGGCTGTTGTTTTTCCAGAATTTGCTTCGGATCCTGTCAGTGAATTCCCGACCGACGTCGTTCCCTGCGTGCAGCTGTTTGATTGAGATCGGGATCGGTCGATCGGGCGGGGAAGACGGGTCATCATCGGTGTCCTGACGACGACGATCTTTGTCGCCATCGTTTGTATTGACGGCGACCAACGGGCGACGTGCTTCGTAGTCGTCGGTCTCTCGATGTTGACGATCATCATCGTCGAGATCCCGTCTCCCGATGTTGACGATCGCGATGATCGTCGGGATCCGTCTGTCCTCGACGGCTTGTAATTTTTCATTCCTGTGGGTGGAGAGCCCGCGTTGTCGACCGCGCGTTCTACTCGCAGGCCTGACTCCCACGGGACGGGACCTGGAGCCTTGGGAGGAGGACGTTATTGAGCGCGGGAATGATGTCGAGTCCCAGATCCCGATAGGAGAGGGAGATCATCTTGACAAGTGTTCTGATCGAGAAGAAAATACTGTTTTTCTCCAATGCACCATGTTATTTTGTGTGCTTTTTTTTTTTCCTTTTGTGTGTCATCCCATCCCCCGTTACGGTGATCTTTTTGCTTTCATGATTGTGCTCGTCTGTAGGTCGTTGCCGGGTAGCGACAATTACTAGTAGTCGTTTGTCGTTGGGGTCGTTAGTCGTTGGGGAGTCGAACAACGTCTCGTCTGAACTACCAAGCGTCGTTGACCTTAGAACGTGAGGTGTATGTCCGGACTCGGGACTGAAAGTCGTCGGGATACGGACTGTCTTTTGAATTCTGTAGCGTGGACGTGCGGTAGGACGTTTTTAGAACGTAGCGGTAGAACGTTTAGAACGTAGCGGTAGAACGTTTAGAACAGGAAAAAAAAAAAAAAAAAAAAAAAGATGCATCAGGAAGCGGGAAATGATAGATTGAAAGAGGAGATCGGGACCGAGATCGGGACCGGGGGACCGTAAATTGGGAGGAGAGGGGGGAGGAAGGAAATCGATGGCCAGCCAAACGTTTTGTTTCGGAACACGAGCATAGAGTTCTATATATAGACAGACACGTGTGCGATGAACATGAACGTTGAATGGGGCCACGTACAATCGTTTTGTGTGCTGGTGCGTGGAAGAGGGAAAGGGAGACGTTGCAGCTTGGAAATGACGCCGAACCTGAACGTTGAATAGGGCCACATACAATCGTTTTCTGTGTGCTGGTGCGTTGAAGAGGGAAAGGGAGAGGTTGCAGCATGGAAACAACGGAGAGCGAACGGCAAATTGTAAGGAAGATATGACATTGTGGGGGAAGAGAGATGAGATGTGGGAGGGTCATGATGGCTCGTCGTTTGCGCAACTCTCTGTAGGTGCCGGCGGCGGGTTCGAGAAAAAAAAAAAAAAAGAGTTGACGTCGCGTGCGTCTTCTTTGTTCAGATCCCGGTCTGTTTTGCGTCTTTTCGCTTTAAATTTTTTTGCTACTAGTCGTTTTCTCTTCACCTTTTTTTTTTTTTGTCCCTCCAGGAGCTTGCTCATCTTTTTTCTTGGTTGTGTGTTTTCGTTTTTTTCTTCGTTTGTATTTTTGTGTTTTTTTGAGTTGGTATTTGAGAGTGTTGATATACAGATCCGAATTTCGAATCCGGATGCAATCGGCTGAATGGAAAATGCACGTGTTGGAATACAGGTCCCAGAGTGCGAGTCCCCCGATGCAATCAATCAGATGAACGGAAATACAACGAATGCTTTTATTATTCGATTTCTGTTCAGGCTGTCGACGTGTACGGATTCGTCAGATCGCACGCCGATTACCCCTGAGGTCGGTCGGGTTATCTGTTGAAATACAGACTAGAGTGCAATTTTCCCCTATGCAATCAGTCAGGAGAACGGAAATACAACGAATGCTTTTTTTTTTTTTTGTTGGAATTCGATTGCTGTTCAGGCTGTTGACGTGTACGGATCCCCCTATGCAATCAGTCAGATGAACGGAAGCACAAAAAATGATTCTATTTGATTTCTGTTCAGGCTGTTGACGTGCACGGATTCGTCAGATCGCACGCCGATTACCTTTTTAGGTCGGTCGGTCGGTAATCTGTTGAAATACAGAGTAGAGTTCGAATCCCGCCCGCTGTAATCAGTCAGATGCACATAAAAACAGAAAAAAAAAAAAAAAAAACTCACACAGGTTACGTTCAGGCTGTTGATGTGTTTGGATTAGCCAGATCATAGTACTACCCCTATTACCCCTGAGGTCGGTCGTTGTTTTCGCGGATACTTCTTTTTTTGTTTTTTTTTCGCGGCTGTCTTCTGTTGAAATTCAGACAGCATGTCGAATCCCTTTGTTGTCTTCCAGTGTACCTGATGTGCGCGTTCTTATTTTTTTTTTAAGAATGCTTTATTACCGTAGTAATTGTATGTTATGCACGCTCGTCTACGTTGAATGGGAACATTTAGTATTTGTAATCCGATTCGCTGTTTTGCATTCTGCTATCGTTCTGGCCCTTTTGCATTCTGCTATCGTTTTGGCTCTTTTGCATTCTGCTATCGTTCTGGCTCTCATACTTCTTTTAATGTGTAGTACGTTGTAGTCCACCAGTAGTATTCGATTACCGACATTTTGGTTTTGTGATTCGATTAGCGTTCTATTCGATTACGACATGTTTGTTTGTGCTTTCGACTTCTTCATGTCTACCGTAGTTCTCTGAAATCTAGTAGTTGTGAACTTGTGATCGAGTTCGATTGCGATCGATTACCATCGTTGTATTCGATTAGTTCATTCTCGTTCCTGATTTTTAGCGTTGTATAGTATCACGTTAGGGCCGTAACGGTTACTCTACTACTCTTTCTTTCGTCTGCGATCGACAAGACATGTAGTATTCGATATAGAATTGCGCATTGTGCTACGATTTGATGTCACCGAGAATGTCGAGTTGGTAGTTTGTATCAGCGTGCTGGTCGTAGTGATTGTAATTGGTTTAGCGTAGACGCCGTAGAGGGAGTGTGATGTTGTAATCGATGCGTGGAGGGTGGGAATATGTAGTGTATTCGAATACAAGCAATTCGACTATTATTTGACGCAGTAGTAGCTCGTGCGCCAGTTGATTTTGCGTACAGCTTGGTTGTCTTCTTCTCCGTGGCACTGTGTAGGTGCAGTCGGCTCCAAAGTCGTTCTCCCTTCGTGCCCCCCCCCTTCCCCCCCTTCGCCCCCTTTTCGGTTGCTTTCTTTGGTTGCGAGCTCTTCCTTCCTCTATTGCTCTCTTCTCTTTTTCTCCTTTTCCGTCGTCATCATCTCTTCTTTTGTTCTTTTTCTTCCGTCTGTATCATCTCTTTTTCTCTTTTTCTTTAGTCTCCATTTTTTGTTTCTGTGTTTTTTTTTTTTTTTTTTTTTTTTTGGTCATCTTATTCCCGTTGTCGGAAGTAGGTTGCGTCTTCCTTTTGTTCTTTTTCCATTTGTCTGGGTCACTGGGTGGTTGCGAGTTCACTCGGACTTGTGAAGTTGTGATGTCCATTTACGACAATGATTTTTGAATCATTTTTCAATGATATGCACGATGTGCTATTTCCTAAGACTAGTCAGCAGCTGTACGACTAGGTCACATAAGCGAAGCAGTGTTTCTGAAGTCAATTCAATCGGAGGAAATCGAATTCAAAGCGGGTGTTGCCTCTTCTGCTTCGTTTTGCGGTGATCTGGAAATATCGAAGTTCTGCATCCGAAAAAGACTACAGTGAGGTGGAAGGAGAGGAGAGGTGTGTGTTATGTCATGTATTGCTATCGACGAGGGCTGTTGAGTGCGCGCTGTGTGTGTGTGCGCGTGTGCGTGTGTGTGTGTGTAAGAGAGAAAGATAGAGAGAGAGAGAGAGTTGACGAGGAGATACTATTTCGTCTTAAGTTCACAACCGGGAACACGAGAGAGAAAGGTAAGAGAGAGAGAGAGAGAGAGAGAGAGTTGACGAGGAGATACTATTTCGTCATAAGTTCACAACCGGGAACACGAGAGAGAAAGGTAAGAGCCTAGGAGGCGATCAAGTACCAGAGAGGCAGCTTAGTATGTCCCGTGGAGAACTGGTACTGGCGACAGGGAAAGGCCAGTCCTACACGCACAGAGAGTGAGAGAGAGAGAGATGTGAGTAGGGAGAACAGGAAGGGACATTAGCGGAAAAGGGACATTGGATACGAAGGGTTGAAGGATTCAAGGGGGAGGTGCAGTAGGTGCTGTGTTGAAGGGAGGAGATCACTCTTTTATGGGGGGTGTTGATACGGTAGGTTGCGACGGGGGCTGCCGAAGTAAAGATCCAAAAAAAAAAAAAAAAAAAAAAAAGTACGGCCGCTGCTTGGGAAATCTGGAGCACTCTTTTTTTTTGTTTGAGGGGTTCGTCCTAAAGCCCTGAATCATCTTGGCACTTCTCGAGTGGTGTGAATCTTTGCCGCCTTTTTTTTTTGAGGTGCTTTGTTTCTCTTCGTTACCTCAGAGATGAGGAGGTGATCTCTCTGACATCCGAGTCGACAGTGAGATCACTGAAGGTCAAAGATGATTCGTAGCGATTTTGAAAATAAAATTTGTTCAAAACTTCAAATGAACTATTATATAATATTGATTGATTCGAACGTTAACCATTAGGTCCATTGCTGATAATATGACTGCATGTCAATATATGCTTATCAGCTACTTGTGCTAGGATTAGTAGGATAGTAGAGAGAGTGTATTAGCATAAAAAAAAACCCCGAGTAAAAGCATAAATATCTTGATCCAAAAAAAGTACTAGCTGTTATTTTGTAGATATAAGATATTAAATTCGTAGCTTTGATTTTTAGAAATTTGTTCTTAGCGTGTTTTTGGCACACATATATTACACAGAGCAGGTCCTGGAGCATAATTGGAATTGAAGTAGTACTCTGATATTCTTTTTTTTTAATTCATATTTGAATATTTCAGCTTGATTATTCGCGTTGTAGAAAATTTAATTTGTTTTGGTTTTTCTGTTTAATTGCCGGTTTAAGTTCTTAGCCCAAGCATGCTCTCTCTCGTGAACACGGTTCAAAGTTCTTGCTGCTAGGATTTCCACGGGGGCCAAGTCCCACTAGCAGCAGCGTTGAGCTACGGCCTGAATCTGGACGTGTTTGTGGAGGTGTGCAGTTCAGGAAAGTCGACACCAGTTCTGCACATCTCCGCAAAAACGTCCAGATTCAGGCGTTGAGGTAGCTCGACGCTGCTAGTGGGACTTGGCCCCGGGGCCATGTCCCACTCTCGAGGGGAAGTCCCACTAGCAGCAGCGTTGAGCGACCTCAACGGCCTGAATCTGGACGTGTTTGTGGAGGCGTGCAGTTCAGGAAACTCGACACGAGTTCTGCACATCTCCGCAGAAACGTCCAGATTCAGGCGTTGAGGTAGCTCAACGCTGCTGCTAGTGGGACTTGGCCCCGGGGCCATGTCCTACTTCTCGAGGGGTTTTATTCTGGTTTCGACTGTGTACATACATGTCTCCTTGCCATCCGATCCCGATCTGAAAATCTAACGGCGGCCCTCCTGTAGTGTGACCACGTTGGAAAATACACGGAACGTAAACGAAACCCCCGTTAGTGGGTCACCGCGCCCGTATGACTGTAGTTAGGAGAAGTGGTAGGTAGGTAGGTAGTGTGAGGTGAAGTTGAGAGACCAATGTAACTTGCTTAAAAAAAAAAAATAATAATAATAATAAATAAAAAAGAATTGCTAATTAATAATTCACGATGATCGTTTGCAGTTGTTGGAGTGAACTTTTTTTTTTTTTGGTTCCATTAAAACTATTGTCAGTTCCGGAATGTGTTAATTTAAAAGAGCAAAAATATTTAGTTAAACTCGAAATGAAAAAAATGTTGTAGTGTTGGCAGTGTGTGATGAACAGCCGGCTTTTTTTTTTTTTTTTTTTTTTAGACGGCGTTTGTAGCTCCTTAGTGCGCAAAATATCAAAAAAATGTACCGGAAAGATACTCTGAAAGATAATATAATATGGTTAAATGAGTCTCCGGTCGACTACGTAAATGTAGTACTTGAATGTGGAAATTTTGAGAATGAATTTGCGCTGGAACATGGGAAGATACAGCGGCACATATCTTGTTTTTTGTGCATGCGCTTAGTAGTGAGGTCCGATGTCGTGAATTTTCACCCGAAAATTCAGCGGAGGGTACGTACGTATTTGAAGTTAACTATTTACCCAGTGGAATTTTGGTATTATATGTTTGTACGCTCTATTCGGAGGAAGATGGTAATTTTTGGCTTTGTATATTTTTGTATATTTTTATATATTTTTATATATATCTATATTATATATTTTATATATTTATATGTTGGCTTAGTATGCTCGCAAGCATTCCACAAGAATAGAGCGAAAATAAATACAAGAAGGGTGTTTTA